TATATTTTCTAAAGATACAAATCATAGGGACAGTCAAGAATATTTATGTTATTTATGTATCATGAAAATTTAACATATTTTCTAGAGACACAAAACATAAGGAGAGTTTAAAAAAAAATTTATGTTATTTATGTATCATGAAATTTTGGTATATTTTCTAGAGATACAAATCATAGAGATTGTCGAGAATGGAAATTCTGAAAATAAATATGTGGAAAAACAAGGGGCAAAAAGGTTATGCCATGTTTTAAATATATGTGAACATTATTCATGTAAAATTTAATTAATCCTATGTTTGCAGCAGCAGTACAATTTGAACCATTTTATGATCCATAAGGTTTATATACTTCCTGGTATATGTCCATTTATAAAATTAAGATGCAAGAATTATTGTTAAGAGCACCGATGATTCAAAAAATGAGTTATAAAAAGAAGATGCATGTAAGGATTTTCTTATCCTGGATTCAGTGCTTTATATGGTGCTAATACAATATCCAACATATAACCCTATCAAATCTTATATTTGTATGAGATGTGACAGTGGCTTCTGAAGTCAGGCATCCAATGTTCCACCCATTGCTTCCTAGCTAGAGAACTTTACTTTATGTGATGGTTGTAAATTCAACTGGTCAAGTGGAAACAGTGTCCCTTCAATATATGGCCTTTGGGATGAGTTTTTATTCCAACCTTACATGCAATTATCAGTCTCTGCTTATGACAGTAGTTTATCAATCTGTCACTGTAGCCTTTTATTTTGAGCTTGTAGATCATTGAATTTTGGCAAGTTCACTTACCTGGCTTAAGAACTGGGAGTTTATCATCTTTTCCATGTCTTCTTCAGGTACATTATATCATCAAAGGTAGAGAACAAAGATGATGATTATATATTTGTATACTACCGAGGTAGAAATGATGCGTGGGATGGGTATGGAGGTGCAGTTGTATACACAAAGAGTGCTGTTTTACCTGAAAGCATAGTTCCTGAACTAGAAAAGGCCGCAAAGAGTATTGGACATGATTTTAGTAAGTTCATCAGGACAGACAATACCTGTGGCCCTGAGCCTCCCCTTGTGGAAAGGCTGGAGAAAACGGTGGAGGAGGGAGAGAGAACGATTATAAGAGAAGTAGAACAGATAGAAGGAGAGGTTGAGGAGATTGGAAAGACTGAAGTGACGCTGTTACAGAGGCTTGCAGATGGATTCATGGAAGTTAAGCGGGACGCTGAGAATTTACTGAAAGGGCTGAGCAAGGAAGAGATGGAGCTGTTGGATGATCTAAAGATGGAAGCGAGAGTCGTAGAAAACGTTTTCGGCCGAGCACTTCCATTGAGGAAGCTAAGGTAGCCGAACATGGTCGAGTGGGTCTCCAAAGATCTGAAAGCAGAATAATCAAGAATCAAGAAAGTTTTCGATCCGGCTTCTCCCTTAGGAAGTCAAAGGGGTTAGAGAAGGATTGTTTCAAGATGCCAACCAAGATTCAAGCTTGTGGGCTGGAGTGGTTCTCATAATTGGATGCCAGCAGCATACTGAATTCAAGAAATAGTATGTAAAGAGTCCTATCTTTCTAATTTTTTGTTTCTTCACAACACTGAATATTTTTCTTCATGAGCTAAGGTTGTGATAATTCAAATATTCTTAGAGAACCACAGGTTGACTACTTATTTCACAATTGCAATATTTGATACGAAGCTAAATGAAAAAATGAAAAAAAAAAAAAAAAAGTTTCATGCAAAGGATTCATGAATTTGTCTCATGCTGATGTCAGTAATGATCTTTCCACAACCAATATAAGTTTTCTATGTAGTTTTTTCTTTTCTAGTTCTCAAATGAACAGTAAGCTCATAAGCCTATACAATACTTCATTGATTTCCATGATGTTGAATGATTGAATTCATTTCATCTACACAAATCTGCATTTCTACGACTAAAGAATGACAGTTAAACCATAAACAAGAAATTTGATGGCATATGAAATATGTTCAGGAGACCACAGAAAGCAGTTGCAAAAATAAGAAAAAAGAACATTATGTTAAATTGCATATAAACACTCATTATGCTTAAATGCTGAAAATATATACTTCCGAAACAGAACTCCCTAAAAAAGGCTTTTCTCGATGAATTTGGCAGCTTTAGATTTCCAAAATCTTTACCACGAAGATTTTCACTTCAAAATCCAGCTTAAGCACCCACAACCCTGGAGCAGGAACAAAGAATTTCATTATAACTATGATGAACAGCACAAGAGTTTTTTTTTTTTCCCTTTTTTTCTTATTCCTTTCAGAGCAGAAGAGGTTGCCGCAATTTATATTATTCTTTCTTAAGCATTTCCTTCGCCTGGGAAGGAAAGAAGGAAAAAAGCATTGTAACAAAAAAGGAACAGAAGAAGTCGACAACACGGATGAAACTGGCTTCCTGATAATATATGAACATGGAACCACAAAAGCATATGAACCTAAGTAGTAGTTCTGCTACAAGAGTGGTTAAAAAGGAGGTCTTTCATCTGAAAACATGACTTCCATTGCTTAGATGATTCTAATTTGTATTCTGCTATAAAGATTACAAAGAAGAGGTCCTGACCTTAGTTCCAGTACTTCCTTGCTTCTGACCACTTGGTTGTGGTGGCTCATATGGAGTACCAGGAGTTCTTCTGTTCTCAGCTATTAGCTTAAAGATGCCAGTGTACTCCTCACCAGATGCTGGATCATTTTCATCCCATCCAGCAAAAGGTGGCACTGTCACATCATGGTGAGGCTGCTACCCAAAGAACGACATTAGCTTACTACTAACTCATTTTTCATCAAATCCGAATTATGCCTCTTAGATTTCTTCAGATATGCACCAACTCAATCATGCAACATAGGAAGAACAACCGAAGCAAGTACTTACCGTTCCACAGGCTCGATCACCAGGAGTTGTTCTAATTCTTCCTGGAGTACCTTCCAATGCTGTCTTTTTGCCCGATGGAGGAGGATCATTTGCAGCTCTGTCAACCGATTTACCCTGATATCCACCATGTTGTCTGTTTGATCTCCTCTTGTTATCGGGTTTGCGAACAACACCTTCTTTACTCACAGGTGTATCAGTTTGATTGATATTACCAGCATCCTTCCTCAATGGTCTTGGATCCTTAGGTTTGGTGGTCTCAAGATTGGACCCAGTTTTAGTTGAAGATGCATCGACCAGAGATTCTACATCAGTAGAGACTATCTTTGAGTTTTCAGTACCACCATTTGGATTAGTAGTGGTTTTTCTGTCATTTTTGCTCCGAGCTTGATCAAAGTATTGGGTGTAAGGGACACTTTCAGCAGTTTCCCAGTTGCCAAATTTAGGTACTTTTGCTTGTTGCTGCATCCAAATAAACCATGCAGCACACTTTCTCATATCAGAAAAAAAATATGAAACATGATGCATTAAAAAACTTGAAATTGAAAAGAAATGTTGACATCCTATAATGATTTCCCTACTGCACAACGTAATTGGAAATATCCTGTACGCTTCAACATCAAAATGCTTAGTATTTTCTCCTACATTTTGAAGAAACTAAGCAACGATTCATGCAGATAAAAGAGTCTGATCAAGAACCAAAAGATGCAGAAAAATCATATGAGAGAGAGAGAAGTAAACATGTTTTTGTTATTAAAGGCTTGTATCACAGGACAAAATAAAAGAGACACTTGTCTTTTAGATGAAGCATGCGTATCGACTGGTATCTGCCAAATACTCATCAGATTTGAAATATTCATACATATCCCAATGATCTACCAAATGCACAACAAATCTTGTTTAAAGTAGCAAGGATTAAAATTGAAGTTCGTGGCACAAGTTTGGCAGAGGGTAATCAAATCACTTGTTTTTGATTCATAGCTAATGTGCAGTAGTAACCAATGCTATGTCTTTTGAGTAAGATGTTATTTTTATTTAGGCCATCAGTTTTTTTTTTTTCTCCTCATTGAAGAAAATAAAAACGAAAAGTTTTCTCTTTTTCTTTTCTAAATGAAAAGGAAATTTTATTAAGCTTAAACTAAGCAATACAACATCAACCAGAAACATACTCCCTAAACATGATCACCATCTCCCTGTGGAAAGGACAAACTCAATTCTCAACCATCTTAAATCGGTCAACTCCATACAGAATCGAAGCAAATGATCTCCTAGGAAGAGGTCAGAGTTTGAAATTTTGTACGTGTCAAGTGCGCATGTCATGTAATATTTGAATAAAAGAAGCAAATTTAAAGAAACTAAATTAAATTAAATCTGCTTTCCATGGCATTCAAAACTCAAAATCCCCAAATCCGCAATATATGATTGCGCTCTCCAGAAAGACAAGGCAGAAAAAACCCATTCAAATCTGTTCAAATTATTCGACACAAGTTCAGAAACAAAACAATATCAGACGGCATAAAATCCCAGACCCATCAACAAACGTCCGCTTCTGAATGATTCCGCATCAAGCGAACCATCGGCGCGACCACATCAAAGCCACCGAGCACTCGAGCAACCATCATAGTCACCCAAAGCAGCAAAAGGATTCCATCTTTTTCCCGATGGAACCAACCAAAACATCAAAACCAGAAAAAGGTGAAAGACACACCGCCATCCGATGCTCGAAGGAGGTAAAAGGTGCGGGCTTTTTCTCCTGCCACGGGTTTCCTCTTTTGAATCGCTCTAACAATCCCCACTCTGGATGGAGAAAGCCAAAGGGATGATGGAAGGGAGAGACGGCACCGGAGATCGCAATAATAGCAATGACGATACCGTCGACGAGTAGCAACTTGGCCACGACTTTGAACTTGTCTTCGAGCTCGGAAACGCAAGTGGGAAACGAGGAAGACTTCCATGTCTCGATCGCTACTGCGTAAGTCTGCGATTAACTAACTAATAGTTTAAAACAAGAAATATTTCACATCGAGATGGGTTTGTTGGTTGCACACGCAATATTTTAGCTTTTTCTTTTTTTTCTTTAATCTTTAACTGTTTGCTGATAAAACAAATAAAAAATATATATTTCTTTAAATGATAAACGAGATTCCATCTCAAAATATTAGGGTTAATAATAATTTTTATCGACCAAGTTAATTGGCATCCTTCCAAAAAAAAAAAACCTTTTATATTTTTTACTAAAAATTTATTTTTTTTTAAATTAAAAAAAACTTTCGTTCCATCAAATGGCCAATCACCTTTGCATTAATAGGTTAACTACTCCTAAGACATGTGAATTTATTTTTTTAATTATAGATTATCTCTTTTATAATTAATTATTTTTAAAAATAAAAATATTAAGATCTTTATATAAAATTAAAAATATAATTTTATATGAATAAAAAATTTATTAAAATAATAAGATTAAAGATAAAAAATTTTAAAAATATAAGATACAAATACTAAAAATAATTAATTATAAAAAATATATAATTAGACGAGATAACGACGGTATCCATCAATATTTTGTCGCATTAACCATCTAATAGGAATGAGGAGGTTGTTAAGGTGCACCAAAATTCGGATCCAGCAAAGACAATGCTACTTGGTAAGAGAGCGAAGGAGCGAATTAAGAGGAGAGGACAATAATAAATAGACTATTTTTCCTTGGCCTGGAAAAGGTAAGTCAAATCTATTGACTCGAACATTGAAAGGTCGCTTGCGTGGTGGTCGAGGTGACAATTACAGTATATATACATTAATTTTAGGTGTTTTTCCATATTTACCCTTTCAAAGTTTAGCAAGCCCACAAAATTTAATATAGCATATAAATATGTCAGTTAATAGTCATATGCTGTGACCTACAGGAGGAGAAGAAGAGAGATTTTTTTTTTATGGATATATTTTGCTAATCTGAATTTAAAGGAATAAAACTATATATATATATATATATATATATATATATAATAATTTAATATTATTATTATTTTATTGTATTTGCCAGAGAAGAAGAGATCCAACTCGGGACGTGCCCCAAACAAAAATACAAGACTTGAGCTGGCTTCAGTCCGGTTAGCTACGTAGATTCCCCATGTCTTGGTTGGTTTGGTAGTCAGATCTTGGCCTTCATGCTTGGAAAAATATTGGTCAAAGTTGGAGATCGCTTGAACTGGAACAATGTTTCAGTTTCAACCAACAGTGATGATATTAATATGAGCATTCATATGCTCTCTCTAACACTGACTCCAAACACTTGCACAGCACAGCTTTAGTGAAGAAGGCACAACTTTATAGGCCGACTGAGATGACTGAACTCGAGGGTTGGAAACGAATAAAGCATTCAAAGAAAGGGATAAGAATAATTATTGAAGAAATTTTATTGAAAAAGAGAAGAAGTTTTATTGAATAAATGAAAATACTTCAATACATTAACATGTTTCCTCTCCTATTTATACAAATTAGGAGAAATGATTTCCTCAACAGAATAGAGATTTTTCTTAATAGAATAGAGAGATTTCCACAAGAAAAATTTTATCTTCTATCACTCACATCAGTACGAAACTGAAAAAAAAGAGAACAAAATAAAAAGGGGATTGATCATTAGGCGACGATGTGACGAGTTCTTCTCCGAGAGGTCGAGGGATTTGGTTTATGGTGGGAGGATCAATTTGAGAGAAGAGCGAAGACGAACAGTTAGTTAGCTGATGGTGAGGAGCGGAACGTAGGT